GTACAATATTTACGCAACACTCTTGACAGATGAGATGCATTAATGGCGCATGTAGAAATTAAACCATCTTTTCTCCCCCAGTGTGTGCTACCAACACACAGTCCTTAGAACAGGTCAACAGACAGTAAAGCCAAACCACAACTTTCAAGAAGAGGTACACACTATACTGTAGAAAGTAAACAGAATTTTATCTGTCAAACTCACAGCAGCATTTACTGTAAGTATTAACCCAGTTCTGCTGTGGAGAAATACAACATGCATTACTGACTCATTTCTTTTCAAATTCATACATTCCCTGCAGCAGTTCAAGCTCCATCAGCAGTGCAGGAATGTATGAAAATGACAGGCAAAGGGCACTAGCTCTTTTCCCATACTGTTCTGCTATAAATGGAAGCAGAGTCCTACAAAGCACTTAAAGCTGAGAATGTTTGAAGACTGATCTCCAGGGAGAAAAAATAAATAAAAACTACGATGTTAGGTTCCATGAGCAGACTAACTATTCTGCTTTCCACAAAACTGTTTCCCTTAAGTGAAAGGAGAGAGAGAAAACCAACTACTAGACAATAATGAAACACTAGCTGGATCTCATCTACAAAGCTACCATGAACAAAGTGCATATGTACACATACATATTTCATAAGGTATTCATAAAAATACTTCTTATTCCTTTTGGGAGCACCTGTTCCTGCATTCACTTTCCCCCCCCCTCAGTGAGAGAAAAGGGGGAGAAGAAGGGAAGATTTGGCAGAAATTCTTTAATAGACTCAAGTTACTTTGATTAAACTTCGATCTGCTTTAAAAAACTAGACCTTGTGTCAGTAGCATGTTACAGAAAGTTTAAAATACACCGTTGAGAATTAAAAAGCTCTGAAATAGCTAATATATGCCATTAATAAGTTGGTTAGGCAAGCAAATGCATGTATGCTGTATCACACGCAATACAGTAAGAAACTTGCATGCTTCTTGCTGAAACTCCGAGCTGATTTCCAGATTTCTTCTGTTGCTGGCTTTTAAGGGTTAATACAAATAAAAAGGATTCTCGGGGGGAGATGGAACACAAACAAAACAGGCTGCGCGCATTCACTTGCAGCCCTTCGCCGACCTCGCCGAGCGGGAGCCCCGTTGCCCGCCCGTGTGCGCCCGGCGGGAGCGCGGGGCTGCCCACAGCAGCGAGAGGACGGCCCGGGGCGGGGGGGGGAGCGGGGCCAACGACTCTGCACACACCCAGTCCCCTGGACTGGGAAGTGCCTTTTCACAGCAGCCCTTGCTAACAAATCGCTATTGCTCCAGGCAGCGGCATGCTGATGTTGGCACTGCTTAAACCAAACAAACACGATGTTTAACAGTCAAATAAAATGTCCCGCAGCCTCCCTAATGAATTTGTCAAGGCCCATCAGACCACCCCAGCCCCTGCCTCATTAACTCAAGTATGATGAGGCGGATTATAACGAGAGAATACAGATCAATCGGTCTGCAGACTTAAGTGGCTTTTAGCCCGGAGAGTTCCCCTCTCTGCAGCACACACTCGCACACGGTCCTTTTAATGGAATACAGTATCTCCTGCTGCTGGAGGGGCTGCCACTTCGTTTTATACACCGTCAAGGAGCTGCTGATGGACTTCTACGCTAACATACATAAAAGCAGAGGTGACAAGGGCTCTTCAATTATAGCCTCCTCGGATCCTGTTCTCCTTCAATTATTCATCCCGGCGAGAGCAAATTCCGCCACAGATGAAGCTAGTCTTAATGCAGTACGACCGCAAACGCTCCGACGCAGGAGAGAAGGGTTTCACGTGCATTATTTGCTGGAAGTGTTTAAGTTTATTGCTCAAATGATGTTTCTAATTAGCGCTGGGGCAATAAATTAAAGTCGGCTTTTGTTTCGCTGATTTATTATTTACTAGGGCTTCAACCTCAGACGGGAAAATTGGTAATGAATTGTTTTAAATCTGAACACTAGTAACGCTCCATCATTAGTCACCTTACCGGGGGGAGTGGGAGGGGGAATCGTTCCCTCCTTGTACTTCTACCCTGAAAAGACGAACGCGCGTCCCCCCACCCTTGCCCGGGCCGCCTGATGGCTCCGGCATTTCCTCCACGCCCCGGCCACGGAAAACCCCCGCTCTCTGCTGGAGGCGAAACCCCGTAGAGCCTTTTCCCCGCCCGCCGCTGCTCGGCGGGTTCGTGGTCGTTCTGACCCCTCCGCTTAGCCCGACCGCGGGTAAGCGCCAGCTAGGCTGCGAGCGAGCTCCGGGAGCTCCGGCGGGGCGTGTGAGAGGGACCCCCAGCCCTCACTAACTCCTCCGCTTGCCGGAGGGCATCCGGAGACGAGGCGCAGGACCCTCTGAGTTCCACCCGACCAGCCGAACCCTCGGAGAGACCCTCCTCGCAGGCAAAGGGGGTCCCCAGGGCAGAGTCCGCAGACACTTACCGCGCCCCAGGGCGAACTGCCCCGCTGTAGCCCCGGGACGCCTACAGACCGTGAGAGCGGCTCAGCCCTCGGCGCAGCCTGCCCCCTCTTCCCTACCCCTCCGAGACTGCTCTCCTCCGAGCCTTCCTGCTCTGGGCTCGTCTCCTTTCCAACTGGGTCGGGACCGGCGGGGACACCTGACACCGCCGGTAGCCTGTGCCCCGCCGAGCATGGGGCACCCCGGCCGGCCGGGCAGGCGCGACAGCCCCCTCCCAGCCCCGGGGGCAGACCGCCCGGGGGGCACCGGGGAAAGCAGCGAGCCGACCCTCGCGGCGGGGAGAACGGGGCCTCAAGGGCGCCGGGCAGGTCCGTACTTACTTCTTCCAGCGCGCAGCGGTACGGCCGGCACAAGACATGTTTCTAATTTAAATGCATACGGAAAACAGACGGCGATATTTTCTTTATTAAAATCAGCCAGCTGCAGCGAGAAGAGGAAAGAACAAGAAACCGAGCCCCACCGCTGCGAGCTGGTTAAAGCCAGGCTCCGCAAGGAGGAGCGCAGCGCGCGTGAACGGCCCTGCCGGAATCCCACGGCCCTGGCCAGGCTGCAGGAACTCGCGGTGGGACTGCGCCGGGTCCGGCCGCGCCGCCTGCTCCGTGCCCCGCAACCCTGTGGGTCCTCGGCCCGCCCGTCGGTACCCACTGCGGGACTGCACGGCCCTCCCGCTGCAGGAAAACGCACCCCGGGCCCCAGAGCAGCAGCGGTGGACATCGCCCTTCTCTCCTGCAGGAGAGGCACTTGTGGTGTTTGTCAGCAGCTACTGCGGGGTGAGAGCAGAGCGAGCGAGCTGCTCTTTCCGAGCTGTCACAACTACGGTTTTACTTCCGAATTATTCAATATTCTTATTAATTCAAACTTGCATATGATATCGCTTCCTTTCGAATAACTCAATCCTGCACTTTAGGAGGACGAACAGAACTTTATGGCACCAGATTTATCTAAATTAACGTGACTACGGCCCTGACTGCGAGCAGTAAAACTAAGGTGTGCAATTCCGCTCCGGTGACGGTCTCACTTTTGCTGCCGCAGCCCGGTATTAGCGAAGTAAGATTGATGCCTGCGGCGAAGCACCGGCACGCCTTTCTCCCTCCCTTCCCCTCTCGCACCGGCACCGCCGCTGGGCCTCTCCGCAGCAAGCGACGGGAGCAGCCAGCTACCTCCGCCTGTGACGGCGAAGTTGCCGCTTTTTCCCACCCGTCGCAGGACGCTCGCAGCCCTGCGCGCGCGCACACACACAACACACACAACACACACACAACACACACACAACACACACACAACACACACACAACACACACACAACACACACACAACACACACACAACACACACACAACACACACACAACACACACACAACACACACACAACACACACACAACACCGGTCAGCGCCGGCACGAAGCGGGCAGGCAGGCGGACACCACGACCCCGCCGCCACCGGGGAAGGAAGCAGGAGTGAACGCGCGGGAGCGTGTGCGCGCCCCCGCCGCCCGCCGCGATTGGCCGCGGCGCTGACAGCTCGGCGGCGATTGTAGGAGGCGGGGCTCCGCCCCCCGGCCGGGCCCCGGCCCCATTCATAAACTACAGGGCCCGGCGGCCCTGCCGGAGAGAGAAGGGCACACGGCGAGGAGGAGAGGCGCGGAGAGTGAGAACCTCGGCGCGCACTTTCAGGGGTGGGGAGGGGGAGGAGGAGGAGGAGAAGCCATCCCGGGCGCAGCAGCTACGCCCTCCTCCCACTCAGGATAAAACACAGTCTGTGCAAAGAAAAACAAACCAATTCTATCTATATATATATATCTCAAAGCAACCTATATAGAGCTGCAGGACAGGAATGAGCGATCACAGACCAAGTGCACACGTCTGCGCGTAAAGATAGAGAAAGCCACAGAGCCGGGTTCAGACAACGCCTCCAGCAGGAAAAGGGAAATCAACAACACCCCCTGACAGTCTGAGCGAGCGGCAGCCAAACTCATGCACATCTCTGGCGGTACCACGGACTGAAAGAGAGAGAGGCAGGCAGGCAGACAGACAGATAGAGAGTTCACTCTTCCGCTCTGGGCATTGCTCGCATTCTTCTCCTCCTCTAGTATCGTGTACGGTTTTAAACTTCGCCGCCGACCGGCTTTGCTGCGGGGACCTTCTGCGAGTCCGGGGAAGTTTGTTCGGGTGTTGGTGTTTTTTTTTCTTTCCATGAACTACTGAAACAGTATTTTTGTCGCTGCCCGGGGGGGTGGGCGCCGGAGCGCAGAGACAGCGCAGACCTCCCTGCCCCCGCCGCCACTCGAAACTTGGCGCTCCGGGAGCTGCGGGGGCTGCCCGCTGCCCCGGCACTACTGCCAAGCCCGCGCCGTCCCGCTCTCTGCGGTTCGCATTTCTCTCATCGTCGCCGTCTTCGCTCCTTTGTGCTTCGTCGTCCGCCCCGGTTCCGTTAATTGCTCCCACCGGCGCGCCGCTGCCGCCTTCTTCCCGGAGGGGGTGGGGGTCTGCGATTTGGCCGGTGCCCTCCGCAAAGCTGCAGCCACCGCTAAAGCATTGGATCCCTCAACGTACTGCGAGAGCCCGGTGTACAGCCCGGACCTGTGCCCCAACATGATCGCCGCGCAGGCCAAGCTGGTCTACCAGCTCAACAAATACTACACGGAGCGGTGCCAGGCCCGCAAGGCGGCCATCGCCAAGACCATACGGGAGGTGTGCAAGGTCGTGTCGGACGTGTTGAAGGAGGTGGAAGTGCAGGAGCCGCGCTTCATCAGCTCTCTGAGCGAGATTGACGCCCGCTACGAGGGGCTAGAGGTGATCTCGCCCACCGAGTTCGAGGTGGTGCTCTACCTCAACCAGATGGGCGTCTTCAACTTCGTGGACGACGGCTCCCTGCCGGGCTGCGCCGTGCTGAAGCTGAGCGACGGTCGCAAGCGCAGCATGTCCCTCTGGGTGGAGTTCATCACCGCCTCGGGCTACCTGTCCGCCCGCAAGATCCGCTCCCGCTTCCAGACACTGGTGGCCCAGGCCGTGGACAAGTGCAGCTACCGGGACGTGGTGAAAATGATCGCGGACACCAGCGAGGTGAAGCTCCGCATCCGGGAGCGATACGTGGTGCAAATCACGCCCGCCTTCAAGTGCACCGGGATCTGGCCGCGAAGCGCGGCGCAGTGGCCCATGCCGCACATCCCCTGGCCCGGCCCCAACCGGGTGGCGGAGGTGAAGGCAGAGGGCTTCAACCTGCTCTCCAAGGAGTGCTACTCGCTGACGGGCAAGCAGAGCTCGGCCGAGAGCGATGCATGGGTGCTGCAGTTCGGCGAGGCCGAGAACCGGCTGCTGATGGGCGGCTGCCGGAACAAGTGCCTCTCGGTGCTGAAGACGCTGCGCGACCGGCATCTGGAGCTCCCCGGGCAGCCCCTCAACAACTACCACATGAAGACGCTGCTGCTGTACGAGTGCGAGAAGCACCCGCGGGAGACCGACTGGGACGAGGCGTGCCTGGGCGACCGGCTCAATGGCATCCTCCTGCAGCTCATCTCCTGCCTGCAGTGCCGGCGCTGCCCCCACTACTTCCTGCCCAACCTAGACCTCTTTCAGGGCAAACCCCACTCGGCCCTGGAAAGCGCTGCCAAACAGACCTGGAGGCTAGCCAGAGAAATCCTCACCAATCCCAAAAGCCTCGACAAGCTATAGGGTTCAAATCCCCGCCGGCAAAACTCGCCCTCCGCAAACAACGACGGCGCCTAAAAACTTTCTATTTAACTCAAACGACGACGGGAAAAGGCGACGAACGAAGAGCGCCCACCTGCAGCTCGGCCTTTAAGAACTCGCAGACGGGTTTCCCGGCGTAAATAAACTCTCGCCGCCTTGCACGGAAGAAGGGAAGAGCCTCCTCTCCCGCCCTCCCATGTGAATTTTTAAAAAGTCACAAAAAGAAGCAATCGGACTTTTGCAACTCCCAAACGAAACCCGAAAGGTACATTTTCCAATCCATGTATAGTCCTTTTCTTATGCTCTCTTGTTTGCCTGAATGTTGTCACCAAGTGAAAAATTATTTAACTATATGTACAAATCTCCCTTAAAAGAAAAAAAAAAAAAAAAGTTTTACTGATGTTAAATGTATTTCGGTGCCAAGGTCAGATTATGTGCCCCACAACTGACTTGTTGCAAATAGTAATAAAAATATTACTTTAACTTTAAGCTGACTTTTCGTGAATGGTTTTAAAATTCAGGCAAGTAGACTCTTCCTGAACCTCAGAATTAAAAATCTTTAAAAGAAGTAGAAACACCCGATGTAAAGGTAGTCTAAGCGCAACACCCAGCCAAAGCCTTAGCTTGGCATATTCTAAACTTCCCTCTAGTTTTTATTAAAACAATGAGTCTAAGAAAACAATAATCTTATCTATTCTGTAGTTTGGCATGTGACAACATCTGCTCTATTTCTATGACTTTGAGCTTCCCCTCTAAATCCCGAGAACATGTGGAGCGTCTCACAGCAGCTCCTCAGAACTGAGGCAAAATTAGAGCCTGCCATCTCCTACCCTCCGCTCGTTACCTTTGGGTTGTTTTTGTTTTGTTTTGTTTTTCTTAGAGTTTTCTTTAGTGTTTGGTTGTTTGGGTTTTTTTGGTTGGTTTTGTTTTTTTTTTCTCTCTCCTCCCACCTCCGCCCCCCCCTCCCCCCGCCCCACGGTAAACCTCAAGCGCTTGTATTTTGTTTTAAAAATCCATCGCTAATTTGCTTTCGCTTCCCAGAGTGAACGCGCTCTCTATCCATTTGACTTTGACAAGAAGGAAGTATAGATCTACCCAGAATAATTAATGCACTTTACAGCAATCGGTCGATTTTTTTTTAAACAAACATTTGTTTTCCCTAGATTTTTAAGTACAGCATAAAACCGCGTAGCCGGAGGATTACATAAACCGTAAGGGAAGCACCCGATCCCCCTAAGCCCCGAGTCTCCAGCCCCGTATTTCGTGCCGTAGCGATCTCGCTTTAGGTTTCCTCAGGATGCTTTAGAAATATTGGTAGGATATTTTTTTTTTTAACGGGAAGGGCATTTCTAAGCTTTGAAAAAGGCGGCACTACCCCTCGAGCCACCCGAAAGGCTTCAACGCCGGCTCGAACCATTTCGAGCAAGTTTCGTGTCCCTTCGGGGGGCGGGAAAGGAGGTAAAAATACAAGTTCTTGCCCGAGAGGGAGGACTACTTCCGTTTCTTTGGGGACGGAGCCGGAAAGAAATAGCCATTCAAATTGGAGTCGCTTTTGTCTTTAAGTTCAAAACGAAATTAACAAGTCCGATAGTAGCCTGGGAAGTGAACTTCCAGCTATGAAAGGCGCTGGGGACACCGTGCCCGGAACCCGGCACCCCGGGCATCTCCAGACACCCCGGCCGCTCCGCCGTGAGCCTCTCCAACTCGGGCGTTAAAACCCGGGGGTGCTCCACAAGTTTCTTACGGGGTCCTCAGAGAGCTTTCCCCAGTTCACTTGGCAGGAAGAAAGGGTTTAGCCCGTGGGGCCAGCCCCTCCTCTAGGGACCGGTCCCGAGCAAGAGCGCACGCCGATCTTATCGAGGCCGGTGCTATCTCTACGGCAGGTCTTTCTTCAGGAACTTGTCACAATGTTTTCTTTTCGGTACTTTATACAAATATACAAGGAACTTAAAATGTATCAAACAGATGAAGCCTCATTAATTAAACAGTCCTGCTGAGCTACAGAAGACCAGGATTTTTTTCTTTTCCAAGGGGTATTTCCTACAGCAGCTCTAGTCTGGTAGATAGTCTTGATAGTCACGGCTATCAAGGTACAGTAAGTTAAGCAGAGGGTGGGGCAGGGAGGCGTTAATGCTTGAAAGACAGCCGAGTTGCAAGCTTATTTGTTTCTTAAAATAAAAATACTTAATTTGATTTTTAGCCCCCTCTCCCCCGAGACATTACAAAAGGTATTTCTTCCCTCCTTTTATGACCTCCAGCTAACACAGCATCACAAATAGAATCTAAGAGGTGTAGCCTACATTTCATGTAACCAAATTCTCCTTCTGTAGGATCCCCCCCCCCCAAAAAAAAAAAAAGTATCTCCAACACAGAATTAAAGATAGAGTCAAACCAAACCAGAATTCCTACTCACAGTTAAAAAACAACAGCTACCAAATACTCAAAACCAGAAAATAAAGCAAGCTGAATATATGTTGCATGTTAGTGTCCCCCATAAAACATTAACGGGAAGGGTAAGAATCAGTAGCTGTACTCAAGCACCCTAAGTGCTAACCATGGAAAACAAAAATGCAGAGTAATGCAGATCTGTAAGACTTTTCTCATGCTAATGCAATACAAAGCAAAACCTTTTAGGTGGAAAATGCAATAAAGCAACATACCAAACTGTCTTAACATTTTATATTTATATCCTTTTTATCATTAGATGTTTTTAAAAAACTACTATGGAAGGAGTAAGCATATCAAGATTTTAAGAGCTATCTCATACTTGAAATGATTTCCACAATATTAAAAAAAAAACAACTTCAGAATCAAAAGTTAAATCTCGTTTATGGTACCACATAAAAATCACAATTCTAGTTAATTACATATATTAAATTCTAGTTCTAAGAATTTGAGAGCATTGTTTTCCAAACTAAATTTATTCCTTGATAGGATTTGATACTGCCAGCTTTCAGACCCACTGATGCCATTTTTAATACAGACAAGAGCAATTTACTCAGTAGGAACAAAGAACTGAACCGGCACTTGACACACAAGGTGTTCTCTAACAGACAAGCAGAAACCCACTACTACTTCCAGTGACTTTTTTCCCCCCTTCACAAAGAAATTACCTTGTTTACTATTAAGCAGATACTAAAAACCCAAGAGCCATCACTTCTTAAATTGGGATGCAAGAATAATTTACCGATCGTGTACTTTTGAAATGTTGCTGTAATACTGTAAATGCTACATATATAAATACTGAAATGCTGTCATAATCTAGAAAACATTCAAGTGCAAGCTTATTAAGCTAATCACACAATATACTGCCTTTGAAATAGGAATTTTACCAAAGGTTACTAATTTTAAGCAAAATATTAGTAATCAAGTAACTCAGAGCAAATAAAGTTTGTGGAAATTAGCAAGTCAGTTCAGGAACGTATTTTAAGAGGGCAATTATGCATTCTGCTTAGGCACAATAAATACTAACAGGCCCTGTAAAAGCTGTTATAGAATAATATGATATAGAAGCACTGAAGGCTTACAAGTATAGGAAGTTTAGCACTATGTTACATTGGCATTATATAAAAATAGGAAAGTAAACCACAGCATTTGGGCTAAAAGCTTCGTTGAACTTTCCACTATTCACACAGGCCTGTGATTCAAGATGTCTTTATTTAAGATGCCTCCCTGGAGCTTTATTTGCAGCAAGCCAATTAACATTCAAGTAGGGTCGAATTGTGGGAGGGGGAAAGAAAGGAGAAGGGAAGGAGGTGTCACCTATGTGAAGTTCAGTAACATCTGTGGTCAGTCCCAAACTTATTAAAGCTGGAACACTGCGGGCCAATAGGGATAAAGGAAGTTGAATGAAGAATTAAAGGTCTCAGTAATTTGTCATCATCTCTCAGAGCTCAGGGTCAATGATCTCTTACCTTTGGGTCGATTTTCTTAAAACTGGGATCTTCTTCATCCACCTCAAAGTAGAGCTCCGAAAGAGTGATGGAAAGAGTGCCTTTCACTACTGCTGAGGGGGCCACAAGCTGGGCTGGTGTGCTTAGGGCAACTGGACCTGCCAAAAAGTGAAAACACCAACAATATTCAAAACAGAAAACAGCCTGAGTGCAAATGACTTGCTTTTCAATCCTAGAACATTAAAATAAAGAAAGCAAAGAGCATAGCTCTTCCTTAGGAAGCAAACCTCTTTTTATCCCGGAAAAGAACATATGTAATAGATTTGCAGTGTCTCTGCACTGCCGAACACTGAAGCAGCTACAATTGCAAACCAATGCATACATTATACGTGCCAGAGCTGGCTTTAGCATGGCAGTATATAGTTTTTACTCAGACATCTTTTCTTTTCGAGAAACTTCCAGTGTTGCATATCTTCCGTTATACACAATAGACAGACTGCACATATGAACACTTAAAATCTTTACTGTCAGGTATGCTCTTTAGGTACTGGAGAGTCTCAATAGCTTTCCTCAGAGATGAACACAGCAGTCGAGGCTCAAAGTTGTCTAACTTAAGTGTTCCCTCATGGATGCTACGAATCTATTGTGAAGGTTACACGATGTTACAGAGCCTAAAGAAAACTGTTTTAAAGATGCTTTTGATTTCACATTAAATATTGTTCAAGGATTCCACACAATGTTAGTGTAGCTCAGGGACTGTGGGAGTAAACAGCTGGAGGGCTGGTTTCCAACTGAATGAATTTTTATTGGAATAATCACATCTCCGCAGGGTTTATCACAGGGACAAATCAGACTACTACTGAAAACAATAGGTTCAGCATAGATCTGACAATGCAGAACATATTATATAAAATAACACATCCAGAAAGAAAACAGGTAAGGTTTGTCATCCAGCTGATTAAGAGGTAAGGAAATTAAGTTACTTGGCTGCAGTATTATCTGACTTTTGTTAATCAGTGGAAAATATGAAAGTGACACAAACAATTTTGTTTTAATAAAGCATCTATAAATGAGGTACACACGCTCAGGTAATCAACGTGAGAATAACTGACAAAAAGTTCAGATGAATTGTCATTTCCATCGATTGTTAGGAGGGTGATGGTCCTTAATCTCACATCAATCTCAATGTGTGCCACTAGGACAAAAGAAGAGATGCTCTGCTGAGATCAGAGCAGCT